TAACATACCACAGTTAGTTATCAGCCACATTAACGGACATCCGGAAGGAGTGGCGGGGAGAGTTTTATGCATCTTCAGAAATGGACTCTTGGCGTGGGTTGGAGAAGGTGCTTCGGTCTTCACCCTTGTTGCCATCGCAGTGGAACGTTACTATGCCGTCATATATCCTCTTGGTAACAAAGGAAAGCTGACATTACGCAAGCTAAAGGTAACCTTTTCTGGAAGCACTGCAGTGTTGATCCCCAGTCCAATATTTTCCAATTATCGCACATTTTTTAAATCCCCCACGAATTTTCACTCATTTAAAACATTCGAAAAATCATCTAAAAATTCTCAAACAATTGTTGAACTAAGGACTTTGACCTTGGCCGTTTTTATGCTGGAGACGTTAAAGTCGTCTAGACGCATTTAACGTCTGAGATGTTAAAGTCGTCTAGTGCAAAAACGGGACGCACAAAAGTAGACGACCTTATTTAAAAAAGTAGTTTTTTCTGAAAAAAGGACTAGGCTCTACTCTCGGAAGACACTGGACACGAGTTAAAGCGGCACCAAAAATGAACTTCAAGCCCGCGAAATGCGAACAAATTGTTCAGACTCTAACATGGCGGCGGCGTTACAACTTTTAAAGTCTATTTATCGCCGTCGCCAAGAAAAGCATGACTTAGAAATGCAGATGTTGGTAACACAGAAAAGTGAATCTCCAAAGTTAATGCAAATTCAGTTCGGTCGTCTGCGAGAACAGATGCAAACTCCTTAAGTTCATCCTCACTCCACTTTCTACCACGAGACTCCTTCATGCTCTTCTTGGCCGCCATGTTGTTTTGCACTCGTCCCTGTCGTCTCTGGACGAGTCGAGCATAAATGCGTCCTAATTTACGACGTCCCGTCTTTATACCAGACGACTTTAACGTCTGAGACGTTAAAGTCGTCTGCCTTATTTACCGTTTTTATACTAGACGTTAAAGTCGTCTTAAGACGACTTTAACGTCTCAGACGACTTTAACGTCTCTAGCATAAAAACGGCCAATAGCGATACAGACGCTGACGTTTCCTATTGATGTTACTTTACACATTCATTGGACCAATCTTAGAGCACTTGACGATTCAATAGATAATTTGTGTTATAGAAAAGCTTTAAAGGCTAAGAAACTAAACGGGTCATTTTCTTTGGCTGCGGTGTAGATGTTACGGGTCAAATTAAAGTCAGGTTAATTTTTTTTAACCTAGGTTGATTCTTTAATTCTCCTAGTCCTAATTTTTGAATAATTAGGGCGAGGAGAATTAAGCAAATAGAGAATCAACTTAGGTTAAAAATTTTTAACCTAAATGTAATTTTGACCTGTAACACCGATATAAAAAAGAGCAACTATCGGGCAAAATTGAATATGTGGAAGGAACTTTTCTTTTTTTGTATTTTTTGTTACTGGTCAAAGATAGAATGGATAAGTTATTGCTGTTCCACCAAGAGGCAAGACGGTTCCAGAGGGGGTAGACATCCTTGCATTCTTCAAGCAGATGCTCTAAGGTCTGCATCAATCCACACACATGACAAGAGTCAGGCCTGTTTCAAACGTCGTGCTACTGCCATGCCAAGCTGGCTCGATTGTAGCTTGACTGCAGCACGACAATAGCACGACCTGGTTTCAGACGTCGAATTTAATTCAGTCGAATAGAACGGCCGTTTCTGAAAACAAAACACAAAAATATAGAAACGGTTTAGCAAAATTTTGAATGTATTCTAATGTATTTATACTTTATGAATTGAGTTCGGCACAGCGGTAGCACGACGTTTGAAACCAAGTCGAGCTACTGCCGTGTAGCACGACTTGGTTTCAAACATCTCGCTACTGCCGTGCTAAAGTCGAATTTAATTCGAGCAACTGAGCTCGGCACGGCAGTAGCACGACGTTTGAAACAGGCCTTACTGTCAGTAATTTTGCCCTTGAAAAGTTTGCCGCGTGTGTACAAGATGTGATGGTTTATTTTGTTGTGGTTGGTTAATGTTTGTTGTACAGATATTGTCGAGTTTCTTTTCAAAGTGGTAGTTATAGTAATGACATCATAAGCAATACCAAGAAGCAGCCCTTATTTTCTTTCATTTGGAATTTCTCAGAATAACTGCACTTACCAAAACCTTACATTGTCAAGGTTAGTCGAGGGGATGATGACCTCGACATATTTTGTTTTACAGCTAATAATTCCTGGCTCATGGATCCTCGCAGTGATTATTAATATTCCAGAATTTATCAAGCAAAACTTTGTGGAGGAACAAAATCCCAACTATTGTATTTACGATTACGACTGGCCACAAGAATGGATGGAAAAAGCCTTTCTATTGGCAGGAATTTGCATTCCTATGCTTTGCTTTACCCTGATGATGGGGTTGTATTCAAGAGTCATATACACTATGTGTTTCAAGCGTGATGATTATACTCAACACACATGCCAACAACAGGTATGACTTTATTGTCCAATAAATGTTTTGTGTGGAAGTACCGAGAAAAAAACTTGTAATTAAGTAGAGACAGTCTTTTATTTAGGGGTCCTGCTGTCTGAAAGACTGCCCGAGAACGTGAGAATATTTATACATTCAAAAGAGTTCTCAAAACACCTACCAACAAAGCAGCCCTTGAGAAGTTTTATCTTATTAGAAGAACCTGGATGAACTACAATAAGGGTCTTGTTATCTTTGTATATTTTTAATTTTCTTTTAGTCTTAGCTTTTGTATTAAGTCTTAATTGCCAGCTTGTAATTTTAAACTTTACCTCCTTATGCTTGTATATAGTTGTATTTCGTTATGGTTGTATATCATATAGGTGTAATTTACAAATGTGTCTTTTATCTATCTATCTTTTTATTTATTTATTTATTTATTTGATTATTAGTCAGGTCCACAGCATCAGCTTTAATTAGTTGCCTGTATTTTCTAACCCGCGGTATCAAATAAATTATAATTAATATGTATGTATGTATGTGTTTTTATTATGGGCTGTTTACAACTGGTGGTACCTGAGGGTACTACTGATTGGCGTTGTGCTTGCAAGGGAGTCCCTGATATGCACCTTGCATTTGTCTTGACGAAATTTAGCCAGTTTAGAGACAAAAAATTAAACACATGCACTTTATTTGAGTGTCAATGTATTTAGCACGAAAGTACTCATTGGGGACACTATTTTTTACGTCTCTTACTGGAGACGGAACCACCATTTTACGTAGTCATCCGAGCAACGCGAAGGTCTAGCCGGTTGCATTACAAAGGTAGTACCTTCATTTCTTAGGTCCGGCCTCGGGAATCGAACCCGCGTCCTCCCGCTCTGCGGTCACACGCTCTACCGACTGAGCTAACACTGCAGGAACTAATGCATTTGTTTCACTATATCTTAATATTATCTTAATTGTTAATGCCAGCACAGGTTTTAACGTGGTTTTAAGAGGGGGATACTGATAGAAACGTTCGACGATCAAGTGACCAATAGCTGTCAGCACAGTAATTTATAAGATAACTGTAATTATTCATAACGATTCTTACAACTTGTATTACAGAACCTCAGTTATTGGTGGCCCACGTTTTATCCCATATCGTTTTTTTAAATTTGTGCATACTTTTTACTCACTTTTGTTTGTTTATTATTTATTGATCTCGAAACTCTTTTCAAAGCAGGCTAGACGCTTCAATCGACCAATTCCGATATATTAAAATCCATAAATGGCTGCGATGCTTGGAGCCAAGTATGAATTTTAATATATCGAAACCATTCTTTTTAGTGCTCATGAGTTTTCGTTCCTTTTTTCTTTACCCAGGCTGTACTGAAAGTGCGTAAGAGAGTCACCCTAATGGTTCTTATAGTGACTGTCATATTTGGAATATGCTGGGGTACAGACTGTATACTCCACGTGATGGAAGTTGTTGCCTCCTACAATTTCAGCCGGGTAGCGATTCCCGTGGCTCACGTCATGATCATGTTTAATGCCGCTGTCAACCCGTTCGCATATGCTTTGGTTAACCAAAGGTTCCGAGAGAAGATGAAGAGAATCTTAGTCCGCAGCTTACGTTTTTCGTCTGCGAGGGTGCAAACAGCTACAAAATCGCCTAGCATTGGGTCGGCCTGGCACGTCACACAGCCAAGAGAGAATGTCCTTGCACGAGACCCAGTTTGGAGTGGTATCGAGCTCCAGTTTTATAGAAACAGTTCTACAATGAAGCAATAGAAAACATTTCCCATGTTTGCATAGCCTGATATAATCACGAGAAAGGCTTGGGAGAATTCGAGACAGTTGCACAAACCTGGAAACGTCTATGTCAGGCTTTGCAAACATGGAAAACGTGTTCAATAATTGCTGTTATAAAATAACTTGTGTCTTAATTTCTGACAGAAATATCCCTTAAAAAGTAGATGGAATCCATCGAGGATCTTTTTTTTGCACATCATTGCGTTTCTTCCTTTCATTTTTAGTCAGAAATCTGGCCTTTCCGTCTTCGGTTAGCCGTGAAGGCCATTTTTTTCACTTGACTTGGGGCCTTAGCTAACTGATGAGCTAAATACATTGGCACTTAAATAAAGTCATTATTATCATTATTATTATTAGATACGATTACTGTTAGTCCTAAAAGCCAAATAAAAATTGAAAAAGAAAAGAAAATATGAAAAGTTTTGTTTTTTTAGAAACCCAAAAATGAACAACCGCTCAGAAATAGTTGTCCTAGTTTTTGCTATTCGCAGTTTTGCGTTTTCATAAGTTATTCATAGGGTGTCAAACTAGCTAGCTATCACCAGCTAACGCACATAGACAGTATGGATGGGAATTAAGGAATTCAAATAGTATGTCACAAGTAATTGAAAGTGGCTTTAAAAATTACAATAACCATGATAAACTCTGTTTTCATTTCAACAATACTGATTCGTATATTAGCAGGCTAGCTGCTACTTTTGTTTTTCAAGCATTTGAAAGCGAAAGAAAAATGATTATTAATTATATATCATTCAATTATATTGGTATTTACTTAACTTTCTTTGTTTATTATTGTATTCCTATCGGTAACACCATGTATGGCCGAAATGGTAATACTGAATAAACATGTTTTTGTTGCTGTAATCAAAATTTGTGCCATTAAACTGGTTTTTAATTGCTGGCATTATTAAGATTTCTTTGTGAAACGTTAAGAGTTAATTTTTTACTCACAAAAATAGCAAACCCTCTCCCCCTTATCCCCCGGCTTCCCCCACAAGGTAACGACCTCTGAAAGCTTTTAAGTCCAACAGTAATGAGTGGACATGGTGGTAACCTTAGCAATGCTTATATAAACGAAACACTTAAAGCACGTGACACACCGGGACACCTTAGTTACGAGCTGTCCAGTGCCTTTCGCCTGTTCACAGCCATATCGCCCAAATTAGGGCGAAATTACTTACTGGGTGATATGGCTGGGCGCATGTGTAAAGTACTGGCAGAAAGTGATCATGCTTGCATGGACCCTTTATTTCCCACAAGGCAAAGGATCAACGGGCAATTAGTGTACAGTGCCAATAGATTACTGGGTAGGGAGGTTCAGACAAGGTATACTCGGGCGGCAACCTCGTCACGACTGGAGTTGAAAAAAAAAAGAATCTACACTTCGATCGAATTGGAATATTTCAGTAGTCTTGTTTTCAGGCGAGGTTCTATTGTTAATTTTTTTTGTTCATTGTTTTCCTAACCGATCCTGTGAAGGCTCCCGAGAGCTGCAAGGTCGCCCAAATTTTTGGGTTTAATGATTTGCACATTTCTCTTTTTTTTTTTTTTTTTTGGGGGGGGTTGGGATGGGTATGGATATTATTTTCACGCTAAAAAAAGAATCCATTTTTAGATTTTCTAGGTGATTCGAGATCAAGAATCTAATTTTGGATTACCCCAGAGAAACGCACCCTCATGACATGAAAGGCATCAAAAGAAAAGTCATGCATACAACTTTTATTTACATTGCAGGGATTTTGATCCTGAAAAAATAATCTCCGCTTCCTGATTTACAAAAATAAATATTCAATTATTTACAGTCATTTTTAACGTTGAAGTATGTCAGCAACATTGAAACGCATTCTCAGGAAAGTGTTTTTCAAGATTTCCAAGCGAAACAAATCTCCTTTTGCCCCTCATGAATCAAAAAACAACCTACTAGATTAACTTTTGTTAAATCAAGTTTGTAATCGAACAAAAAATCATTTACTGTTACATGTAATATCACGGATGACAATTACTCCTTGATTTTTTGATAAAAAATATGAAGATTTTAGGGCGTTTAAAAAAACAAAAACACATGAAAGAGCACAATATTTAAAAGAGGAAACAATGATTGTAACGAGTATTTTAGCCAAAAACTCAGAAAACTTTGAACTTCAAATGTTTGCATCTATCTTTTCAGCGCGTGGAGTTCTCTATGCAATGAGCAAGTCAAAAACTCACAATTGCGGGTGTAATAATGTCACCTAGGATATTAATAGGTGATCCACCGTTATACTGCTGTGTGAATCAATTCCAATAAAATTACTCCACAGAAATTTACAAAACGCGAGTGAAATTATTTCTAGTTTTACTCATCACTACAAATTTTAATCACGTAAAGAGCGCCTTTAGTCAAAAAAAGATGGTCCACAACACCAGCTTTTCACAGGAGCAGTGTAATGTCCAACGCGGTCAAACGTTTCAAGATTGTTACTTAGAAGGTTATTATGTTACCACGAAGTGATAATGCAAACATGATTTCCCGCGTTCGTAAAAGGAAAGTAAAAGAATTGCAATTTATTGACTGAGTTGGACACGGCAGTAGCATGACATTTGAAACCAAATCGTGCTACTAACGAGTAGCACAGCAAAGCTTGGAACACGTTTGTAACACGAATTACTCTCTAACGTCGTTCTATTGCCGAGCTCAGGTCGTCACGGTAGTAGCACGAAGTTTAAAATGAGCCTCTTTCAGCGAACTTCAAATTGAAAACTTAATGTGTACTATTCCTTTACATTGGTCAAATAGAGAGCATTTAGAACTGTCAACGAGTGTTCATAGTTATTCCTAACATCACCATGGAATTTCTGCTCTCGTTTCTCAGACGTCATTTTGTGGGAAAACCTGTGGCGTCGCAAAATGGGGGCTGTTTTCTCGGGCTATGCTTAGCGCTCCTTAAAAATCTCGCTAAAATTTGGCCAGTCCGAACGCTCCCTGGCGCCCTTAAATTAGACGAACGAGTTTATTATTTAAAGTTAAACAAGATAATGGGTCGAATTGCACCATGGGATTGTCGCTCTTGTTACTGGCTGTAACGAGGTTGCGTAGGATAATGGATCAACTCGTCTCCCACAACAACCCCATGGTACAATTCGACACTACACTGCGCAACTTCAAAATGGCAAACGTTAAATGTAAACTTCACCACTTTCTCCATCAAGGGACAAGACCGCAAAGGACTCGCGTCCGACCGCATCGGGGTCTGCATCTTCGTCAGAACTTGTCGCTGTATTATTCTCTGAACATTTTGATGGAGTGTTCACTTGAAATCTAGAGGGTGGTGTGGTAAGAACGCTGGGGGGTGGGGAAGGATCAGTGACTCCATAGTTAGGGACTCCTGACGTGACGAGTGGTCGGTCTTCTCCCTTGGGACTGATGACGTCATCTGAGGACTTGGCTACTTGAAACTGAAAATAAAAATTCGTTCACGTATCAGTTGCAGAAGTAACTTGTATATACTGGTTACCGGGATAGTGGGGGCAATCGATTTGAAGCAGACAACATGAGTACGGTTCGGGTAAATCAAATAACATAATTCGCCACTTGCACATCTCCCTTAATACACTTTGTTTTCCCCCACAAATTTTGCATGAGCAGTGTCTTCAATTTTCCTTGGGACGACTGTAACACCCAAGAGAGTTGAAAACAAAGGCTACGCAAAATTGGGGGGGGGGGGAGGGGGCAAAGAAAGTGTATTGTGGGAGATGTGCAAGTGTCGAATAGAAGACGGGAGCACAATAAAATGCAAAGAGAAAAATACATTTGCATGTGAAAGTCCGGATTCACAGATTCCCAAAAGAACTCGATATCCTTTTTTCAAAATCATTGTACATAATTTAAACGGACTTTTTAATTTTTAAAATTTTATTGTATAGTCGTAATTTACGCAGGGCCCCTTTTGATACCATCCAATGGTTGACAGGGCAACTCGATCTGCCTGAATAAAGTTGACTTGACTTGATCAAAAACGGACTTATTTTTTCTCTAATTTGTTGATTGAAATCCACGTCAAAGAGGGATTTTCATTTGGCGAAACCACCTTAGGGCTTTCTGTCGTTTACTTGGGAAATCCAACATTTGCATTGTCAAATCTCTATCCACTCTTTCTTTCGTTTCGAGCACTATCCCATCGCAAGTTCGACGAAACACATTCCGTTTTCATTCCTTTTCAATGGTACATTGACTTAATAAGCTCCGTTGATAAAAACAAATTTTTGCCTTATTCCCTCACTGACACAGCACCAGTTTCTTGAATTTCATCTTTTGATTCAGTTTTACTAAGGTGTGGATTAGTCTTTTCAGCTGTACTTGACGAGTTGAATTTAACCTTGTCGTACATTCTTTAGTAGGTTCATAAAGCCCATGTAATGAACGCTTGTTTAGAGACCACGTGACAACGACTCAGCTACTCGTATTTGTATTTTGTAATCACGTGAACGGCTTACATGAAAATTCAACCCGTAACTGAACGTGGTAAAACCAAATTAACTTCAACTACGTCACAATGAAAACTGCTATACTCCAAAGTCCAAACTTTCGCATTCAAAAACACCCGACATTACAACAAAAGCCGGAGTAGCTAGGCCATCTCGGTTTGCATTTGTAGGACTTTGTTTTCGTTTTTGGTATCCTTGCAAGAATCGTTAGCTAACAAAGAGGTAAGAAAGGAAGTTGGATAACTATCAAGTTTCATAGACTTGACTGGTACTTATGTTTTGACTTACCCTTGATCTTGGCATATCAATCGGTTTGGAAGGTTTCATCTTCTCTGCGGGAGAGCTATCCTCTTTTACCGGAGACCTTGCAAGTTCTGTTGAATTGTCTTTCACAATGTCCTTATCAGGAGGTTTGACTGAAAACCTTGAATTCCCTGATGATTCTTTCACTTTGGAGGGCAACGAGTCATCATCTTTTGACATTTCAACTTCGGGAGACTGGGAAGACGATCTACCTGCAAATCTTGAATCTTCTGATAACGCATCACGAGAATTTCTTCTTTTAGGAGTTGACGACAGGACTGGCGAACTTGGCGACAGAACCGGCGAATTTGGCGAGGAGTCTTGTGAAAGTGGGGCTGCACTGTCGACGTCAAATCTCATTTCAGCTGATTTTTTTCTCAAGGGAAAGCCCGCTGACTGCTGGCAACTTGCTTTTAGAGGAATAGAAACCGTATCAGGAGGCGAGGGACTGATTGGTGAATTCCACCTTCTTTCTTGTTCTGGAGTAGTTGGAGCTGAGCGGCTAATACGAGAGCTAGGTAAAGAAGCAAGCTTGGAACGAGAACGAGGAAGACTATCCGTACAAGCTAAAGGGGATATAGGAAGAACACGTGGACGGGGAGTTTTATTAGGAGGCGATACAACGCCACTAGGCGGAGGAATTTTTTTGTCCTGATCTTGCGGAGGGCCAAATAAATTTCTCAAGGAAGACGGCATAGCGGCCGGTTGCGGTTGGCTTGATTTAGAAGTGCCAGGTCCATCTGTTGTATCTGGGTCTCCTTCTCGTTGTCTGTTAAAAAGATTCGCTAAACTTTTAGGAGTATCATTACTTTTTTTCTGAACTGAGAAGCGTCCATCAACTAAAGTAGTACCAGGAGAATTCTTTAGGCCCTCGAAGAGATCTTCAGGAAGTTGTCTACGCTCCAATTCAGATGAATCTAAAGGAGTAGAGGCTGTTTCAGAAGAACGTGTAGACCCTGTATTGCTGCCTGACTGAAGCAAAGGTTCATTTTCATCTAACATCCATTCCGGCAGGGGATAGCCCGCTGAGCTGAATGAGATGGAGGACGAGCAAAAGCACTGTCTTCGTGATCAGAAACTGCGAGTCCATCTGAAAACCAAACCCTCTTGGCATCATGCGACTCCTGCCCATTAACTTCGGCTCCCTGAGCTCTAAAAAATTCAGGCAAAGAGCCACGCGAGCTGTTAGTGGTCAAGCTATCGCTATTGGACCTCTTCAATTTCATGCCCGGAAGTATAGTGGTACTTCCGGTCATTCCACGTCGTGCCAAATCTTCTAAGCGATGAGCAGTGTCCGGGTTCAGAGACTTCTTAGAACGTTCATCCTCTGGCTCTTCTTCTCCGTGTTCTACTTTTCTAAAGCTGGTTCTTCTTAGGATTGGTTTTCTCTTATGAGGCACCTTAGCAGGTTGGATTATCTTGGGAATAGGACTATGGCCCATATCATTGTCACTGTCACTGTCCGAATATGGTTCGTCCTTTCCTTTTGCTTTTGTGGTGACAGTGAAGCGACCAACTGTGATAACTCTGTTTGTAAGTAGGGAGTGCGCAGTCCAGTCCTCCAACTGAAACAACAGAAAAAACGGTGGTACTACAATACAGAGACTCTCTCTTAACGGATACTTCTATAAGAGGACAACTCTGTATAAGAACACCAAGTGTCGATCCCTGTTTGGAGTATATTTGCAGACCTGGACAGACCTTTATCTCCTAAACTTCCTGATAAAGGTGCATTATCGATATTGACTTACATCGACCAAAGTTAGCATGTTTTAGCTTGATTTTAAACTTAGAATTATTTTGAATGAATAATAAACAGTTATTGAATTTGGCTTTCGTAGGATATGAAGAATTCTGCAGATCGAGGAGGGTGTTATCCACCTCGGCCTTCGGCCTCGTTGGATAACACCCTCCGAGATCTGCAGAATTCTTCGTATCCTACGAAAGCCGAATTCAATAATTGCAAGTTACATTTAGGCTAACCCTGTAATAACGCAGCACTGGTGTTATTCCCCCAGCGGGGGGAGGGTACTCAACAAAGTTTTATACGAGAGGCTCCGCTCCGAGGTCCAACCCCTTACCCTTTTATTTACCATTTTTGACCGAAAAGGAAGTGGCACCCCTTTCGTGTACCTTCTATCGAAAAATGGTACCCCTTTGACATATCTACAATTGTAGTTTATAAGAAATATCTATTTCGTTAAACTGCTGTAAATCCACTATGTTTTAAGTCTAAATAAATCCCAGAGGCAGAACCTTTTTTTTCGGCTTTTCACAGCAATAAAATGTATCTGCTAGCCCTTTGGGCTTTTTTACAGCCTGAATATCCTTTCATATAAGTCAACTCAGTAGTAACATCCCGGCTCTTTCATATACCTGAAGCCTGAAAAAAGTATCCCTTCCAAGCGGAACCTCCCCGTATAGGCCATTATAGCGAGTACCTCCACCCCTCCCCCCCCCTCCCCCAAGGTGCTATGCATTGAATCTAAAAATAAAGATTACAGTCGACTCTCTCGGCTTAACGGACACCTCGGAAAACGGACACCTAGAATTCATCCCTGCCTTACTTTACCCCCGTTATTTGACTCTCTATAAGCCAGACATCACTCTTAGACGGACACGTATAGTACCGGCTCCAAAGGTTTCTAGCCTGTTCCAGGCTCCGAGATAGTCGGGACCGCTGAACTGAGAATGCGCGAACATGAGAGAAAAAAACAGGAGGTTCCTTCCTTTTTGCCGTCCCGCCAACCATTCGCGTGCCTTTTACTTTTGCGTCTTCCCCACTATCTGAGAGCCCGCAACGGGCTAAAAGGCGTCCGTCTTAGGGTTGATTTCCGCTGTCGCGTAATTTTTCCGTCCAAACGCACGAGAAATTTACGCGCGTAAATGAAAAAGAAGCAGTGTATGAAAGGCAACGCGTAAACTTGAAAATTGAGCGAGGTTCAACTTTTACGTTTACGCGAGACCTTCCATACATTGTCTCTATTTCATTAACGCGCGTAAAATAATTACGCGATGGCGGAAATCCACTTTTAGAGAGAGTTCACTGTATTCTTTTAAACACGCTTCCTACCTGACCGAGATTAATATCGTCCGCACTTATCCCATCAAACGGATCATCCAACACGTCCTGGACGCCTTGCAACGTACCAAATATGAAAGATGTCAACACGGCGATGTAATATGGACTCCATGTGTTACCCGACTTGATTCCCATGTGTACGTAATATGGCGACAATAAGATTGGCATAAGAAAAATAAACACCTTAGTGAATGACCGTATGGTCCGCGGGGAGCGGTATTCCCTGATAACACGAAGCCTCTCGAATGCATGGCACATCAAACTGTAGGAAGAAAGGTGAAATATAAATTAAGGGCCTGTTTACATGGAGTGGGGGATTTCGGTCTAGTGGGGTAGGTTTCTTTTGTTTTGTGTCCCCCAGAGCGTGAAAACAAAAGAAACCAACCCCACTAGACCGGGGTCCCCCACTCCATGTAAACAGGCCCTAAGAGGCCAAGTTATGGCGTTGGGCCATGTGCTTTAATTATCTCTGTCTGAAATCCACATTTCCGGTAAAAGCTAGGATTTTCACTAGGTTACTCCTAAAATGTGCTACCAGATTTCATTTTATCTCTATAACAAAATTTCATCTAAACAAAAGCAAACTGACCCAATCTAGCCGAGTACTAATATGAAAGTTCTTAGTTGTGAAGGCGAATACGGCACATTCTAACAGAACTTGACTTTTCGGGTAACAAGATGGTGAAAGTTATTTAACATACTTCATAGTAGAATATGGGGAGTCAAAATGTGGAGAGGGAGCGAGAGAGCTCTTAAACAAACTCTCCACACTGACTCTTATTGTACTACTTCCACCGTTCGTTCTTATCTTGTTCTAGCTGGATACACTGGAGTGGAATTCATGGAGGGCATTCAGTGAGAGAGCAAAGCCACACGACTGACCTATGCACATGCGTCCGGTGTATGGCTACGTTTGTACAAAAGGAGGTTTTTTCCAGATTTATTCCATCTCGGGTATTCAAATTTGTTTACACACATCACTAATAAACGAGAGAAAATTCGGGTTTACCTCGGTGTAAAAACCTGTGAAGGTTTCCTTTGTTTACTAGCTACCGGGTATTATTTTCCTTGGCTCTATTGTGTTGAGTTCTCAGTGGTTTCTCTGTCGTCATTGTTTTACGTCACTCGTGAGTTTCACAGGTTTTTACACCGAGGATGAGCCGAACATTCAGTCGGATGCAAAGTATTCACTTTAGATTCCGGATTCAAAATCTTCAGACACGTGAACAATTGAACCCACTGGGACGTTCTTATTTCGGACTGACGCACCTACGTATAAAGAGCAAAACGAATCCGCTACAAAAATCCTCCAGATTCGTCATCACCCCGGAAAAATCTCCTCTGGTCTTAATGTAGCCTACCTCTAAAAACGCTTACAACCTACAACTGAGTCTTAATGACTTTATGTCTGTCCACAACAAAACCGTGAACTTATCCACTCCGGAGACTGCTTACGACTCCCAGTTTACATCATCGTTCACGCGCAGACTGAAGCCGTAACACATACGACATGCATAGCACGATTTCGTATGCGTTTACAAACGTAAATCCATGAGGAAAAAGCCAACAGGGGTCTTTTTTGCATGAGCATGCGCGACCGCTGAACAAGCGATGTGCATGGAGGCTCACCACAGGATTTGCCTTCATCAAAATGGCGCGTCTCAAAGCTATCATAGCGATTATTTTACTCTTTGGTCTTGGCGAATGTGCTCGTGATTTAACAAAATGTGTGGTTTGCGAAAAAAACTCTAACATGGTCTTAACAAAAGCGAAGTAGACCGGCTTTAACATACACGAGCAACTATCAAATTTCATCTCCTCACTTGACCTGGACAACAGCGCGCGTATATGTAGTGCCTGGAGGATCGCGCTGACCTCATCAAAATCTAAACAAAGTGCAGAAACGTTTGTTGATGCAAGTAAACACTTTCCAATTTTCTTTGTTTTGAAATGGGAAAGGAAGAGAACTATTGCAAAAAAACAGCAAATTTCAGAGAGTGGGTTCGAAGTGCGCGAAAGCCGATGTTCAGTTCAGCAGTGAATTAATATATGTTCTACAATTTTCCCAGCACTTTAAAGCTACAAAATTAAGAGCACACGAGACGTAGATTAGTCACCTGGTGAGATGTTGGTGGTAGTCACTCTGTATGTCTCGAACAATAAAAAAAAATGCATATCAATGAGACACAGTCAAAACTGCATTCAATAGGACCGAAATTAAAGTCCAATCTTGTGACCGATTTTGATGAAACAAACGGTTATAGTTTCCCAAGAAGTACAATAAACATGTGATGCCGACCAAAAGTTAAAAATCATTAGAACATTTAAGTTCTGGTCAAAAGCAAATTCCTGTAAAAGATGCGTTACAATGTTAGTCCACGCAAAAACAAGAAGTTCTACAATGTTCCTATAAACAAACTTTGTATCGCTAAGATACTTAAGGCAAAAACTTTCTATTTCAACTGAAAACGGCGTGGTAGTCGCCCGCTGATCGTTATTAATCCACTCCCGAAATATGGCTAAATCAGCTATTAACAAATTATTGACAGAAATCCTCTACGGCATCGAGAAACTGATTTACATCCGATTTACACACAAACACTAAATAAAGAACATTTTGCTCATAGCTACGCATCAGCAATGCATTCTATGCCAAACTTTGCGGTTCTTAAAGGGGAATCAAGACACGAGTCGAGCACCAAACAACAACAAGCAGCCATGTTCGTGTCAGACATCCTTAAGAAACTTGCTCTTACACCTCGTTCAGCACATCAGTCTCCACTTTAAATCAACAGATCTTTACTTATTTTGTACAACGAAGGTCTTTCCTAAGTTCCTGCTACCATTTCAGTCCCAAGCAAGCTTTCAAAGTGAACAATTTGGTTCCTATGACTATGCAGCACGGTCGCTGTCACTGGTC